GTTCTTTGTCAATTCCTTCAGTGCACTTTGGACTTCCTCCCTGAATATCATTGGCTCTTGATCATATGGTACCTCTTGAAATGGTTGAATATTAGCCATTTCCTTTTGGTACAATGACTCTGCATATTCCTTCCAACTTCTCTGATGCATTCAGCATCATTCAATAGTTTGCCCAGAGAATCTTTTAATAACAAAAGTCGAGGCTTGATTTTTTTTTTTCAGTTCCCCCAGCTTGAGAAATGCTGAGCGTGTTCTTCCTTTTTGGTTTTCTGATTCCAAATCTTTTCACAGTTTATTATAATATTCCCAACATTAAACAATAGTTTTTAGATGGATCATGTGTTTTAAGGAAGGCCAGCCAGGAAGACCTCCAAAATGAGCAAAGAAAGGAAAGACTGTCAATACGGTGAATGAAGCAACTTTAGTTGAAATCCTGAAACTATAGGAAGAAAACCATAGAATTACCACTGATGTTATAACTGCTGAAGTTGGGATCACACATGGTTTGACATTTTCAATTTTAAGTGTAAATCTTAGCATCAGCCAGCTAAATGAATGCAAAAAGCATTGCATGGAAATCCACTGACTCAAAGATCGAATCTTTCCATCAGACTTTTAAGAAAGATCAAAGCAAATGAAGACTATTCTATGGAATGAATCATAACTGATGATGAGTCTTGGATTTACCAGTATAATCCAGAGAGCAAGGTCCAATCCAAACAGTGGTTTCCAAGAGAATCTGCTGGGCCAGATTAAATTCAAGGTCAGGTCTGAAGTTTATGGAGATTGTTTTTTGGAATTCCAAAGGGATTTTCTTGAATAACACATTATAATTATAGGGTTTATTATGAATAAGCTGTAAGAAAATGGAAAACTCTACTTTAAAAAAAAAAAACAAAACAGATTTTGTGCAAGGAATTTATATCCATCACAAAATGTACCTGTTCATTTTCTGAGGCTAGTAAGAGCTGTCCTATAAGAATTGTGTTGGGAAATCTTTCCCTATCCATCCTCCAGCCCCATCATGTTTTATTTGTCCCCAAGCTCAAAGAATATTTAAAAGGAGCACAGTTTGAGATCATCAAGGATGTCTAAACTATTTTTTGAATGATGTAAATTAAAGAGTGCAGAATTCTTCAGGGGAGGGTTTACAAAGATGGGAACACTGCCTTCAAAAGCGTATAGACCTAAATGGAGAATATGTCAAGAAATAATATCTTCACATGTTTGTATTTTTGTTTCATAAAGGTTCTTATGATTTTGTAGCAATACTTTTTGAGTTACCCTCATATGTGTCTAATTGAAATTAGGTTTTCTTACATTTTAGTCATTTAAGCTTTGGTTATTTTATGTGTGAATACAACTATTGCCTGAGAACACTGAGTATTCCTGTCTTGGTCAACACGCAAAAACACAGAGGAAATGATGACTAACTAGGTTTGGTAAGTTTGCATACTACAGCTTCATCCCAACTTTATTGCTCCTTTCTGTCAAATATTCCATGGGGGGATTAAAAAAAAATGTGGAAGTACTTGTAGTCTTTTTTTTTTTTTTCCCCAATCTTCTTTTTTCTGGTAGATCAGCTACTCAAGTAATAATATCTCTAAAGGAATCACTATTCTAAATAAATTATTCTAAGAATTTATTTCTCTCAACATCAGTTTCTTCATTTTCCAACTCATAGTTTTTCATGACAACAAAATATTATATAAAGGTTTCTCCTAAAGCCTGTGTCAGACACTGATCTTCCTCCTGTGCCACAAGGGCATCTTGCAGTTTCAAAGGGATCTCAGAGGGTTTTGACTGATGAAGGTCTATGCTGTCATCTGGACCAGCCAAGACACTATGGCTGCTTTGAAGTCTATCCAAGCCTGAAGTAATAGTCACAGTCAGCACCAGGTAAAGCTCCAGGGCATTGTGGAGCTTGGTTTATTTCTGGGAGTCTAGTTTCTTTTCTATCTGGGTGCCTTTCTCACCAGGACACTTCACATTAAAAGCACAGCTGTTATCATTGTATCCCCATGTTGTAGCACACTTTCCTTCAGGGCTTCTCTCCCCTTGGAATAACGTTGTCTGCAGCTACCAGCAGATGCCATCCGGCAGCTGAGAGCTGCAGAATGTTTCAAAAATCCTGCCAACCATTTTTTCCCAACAACTGTGAGCTCTTCAACTCCAGATATTTTGCTTCTCATTGACATCACAGAGACTATGAGACAAAATTCCTGAATTGCACAATTCAGTTTCAGTGAAAAAGCTGGCAATGTAATTATACTTCCTTGCCACTTCTTTAACACCTGTTCTTAGAGTAAATGCATTATCAGCTGCGCTGATGCCAAATTCTGGCAGAAAACAGATTTGCATATGACCAGGTTTAATAGAAAAAAACAAAGCTCTCAACATTGACTCCAGTCTGATACAAGCCATCAATGAGTTCCTGTATCAAGCATTAGTCATGATTATTTAACAATGGTGAAGCGGAAAAAGATATAGTATTTGAATTGATCATTTCAGGCACACCAAAAATACAAAAATCATACATGTAGTCAGAGAGCAGGGGAAAGCCAGAATCCTATAACTGGCTCAGCTGCCTCTTTGAATGTACTTTGGAAAAGTCAATAGAGTATCATCAGTCACAGTGAATGTATCCCATATCATTCTTGCATTTCTCTCAGCCCATTACAAACTCTAAAGATCTGACATCAAGAATATGTCACTATCACAAGTTGCTCTTATGTGAATGACTTCATTGTCATTAGGATTCGGTATCAACTCAGGATAACCTTTAGGCATGTAAACTCTATGCATCACTTTTTCCTAAACAAGAAAAGGATAAAGCAATATGATTTTGAAATGTGAAACCAAAGGTTTGAAAAGAGTCTTTCTAATAAAAAAAAAAAAATTTTAACTATTTAACATTTGGTGGTTAACACTACTAACACTACATGATAGCAGATACAGTTTTGAATGTTTTAAAATCAAAGCCCCCAAAAATAATTTTATAAACACCTCTTAATATTTTTAATCTTAAAAGTTTCACATGCTCAGAGAACTGAAAATGGTAGTCATAAATATATGTGTGCATAATAATAAAGACAATCTCTTTGTCTCAAAAGACAAAAAGTAAAGCCTTAGGAAATTATTTCAAGCTAACATAATCAAATATACTCTTAAAAGCACTGTTTATTTGATGACATGTTTGCTATTAATTCGCAAAAAACTTTATTCTGGATTATTCCATTGTAAACCCAGGGGCTAGGAGAACTGAAGAGTTTACAGTAAAGAATCCTCAGTCCTTTTAAGTGAGCAACTTCTGGTCAGTCCTCTGGCACACAGGACAGTTGTCATGACTCAGATCTGTTCACAGTGGCAGTTCTGCCTTCCTTCACTTTCTAGCCCAAATACGAATTAACGACCTCATTGTCTCACAGAGTCCCAGAAACGTTGCTTGTGAATGTGGGCCTGTATCTCCAAAGTTAAAGTTTCTAAAATATTGTCCTTCACATCAGCATGAACTGGGTATTAATAAATCTGACTTCTAATCCTGGCTCTTTCAATAATTAGTTAGTTATATGGAGTTAGGCAAGTTGCTTGAAGTCTGTTTGCCTCAGCTTTCACCTCTGCGAAACAAAACTGTTAGATAATCACTAAAGTGTGTTCTAGCCATATATCCCTGGAGTTCAATGGATTTGGTCCTTTGTTTAACTTTTGCTATGTATCAGACAGCATAAAAATGATGCAATTATAAAGTTAAATTGACCCATAAAACAAATTCAAGAAATTTTGTAACAGGAATACCAACAGGACTTCATGTGTTGAATGTGGTTACCTTAAAGGGTGGAGAAAAAGCCCTGACCTATAAAGTTTGATTCCCATGATGTCAGTGAGCATCATGAAGTTAATAAAAACATCCAAACATTCTGAAAGCCTGACTTTTTATTATGCTACCTCAAAATTCCAAAGAGACCATGGCTATCAAGGAAGGGCTGGTCTAAAAGAGGTAATGTACTGGTCTACTCTCCTGGCTTTGATCATGAGCCACAGTCTCCTTAATTCTCTGCCATCTCAATTTGCATACTTAATTGCCATTTTAACTTGGTTGATCCACATCTGTGCTTACCAGTAATCAAACTGAGTGAGCCAAGCACTACTCAGTGTCTGTCACTTTTCAACTCACTCAAGGATTTGTATATAGAAACTTAAACTGTGGCATCTTACAGTAAATACTTTAGCATGAAATCTTTTAGTTCAAATTTTCACGGTAAGAAATAATGTTATTTTCCTACTTGTCAATTTTTTAGTTTGAAATTATGTATGTTAGGTTGGTGTGTATCTAAAATAAGGGATATTGTGTTTTATTCATAAGTTTTCAAAGAGTTCCTGCAATTTAAATCTGCTTGTATTCACTTGGTTATAAACAGGAGAGAACAGCTGGGTTCCATTTCATTCTAATCGCCTTTTAGAATTTGAATATGGTATAAAGTCACACTTTACCCTTCAGGCGATTTAATCCACATTCCTCTGAGCACTCTTTTCTAACACTATGATATTCTTTACACTTAGTGTTTTGTTTTGTTTAGGGCACATTCTGAATTCAATCTACTCTTTATTAATTGTGGTAAACATACAAATATACCTCTGAGCACATCTTATTCATGATAATAAATTGTTACTTAAACTTGCATTTGTGGATATAAAACACTGGAATAACATTATGCTCCAACTCAATAAAAATTCAGGCAGAAGAACTTAAATCTCTATGACAACTGAAATCTGGACCATAGAAAAGATAATGTTTTGAAATAACTCCAGAATTAGTTTTGAGTTCTAAAGCAATATATTTTGTTTTGAATAGAGCCAATATAGAAATAACCTACTTTATCTGCATCTAATTTAAATAAAAATCACTCCTTTGCTAGAACATAGACAGTATAAACTTGTTGTAGGGTTTGAATAAGGGAACCTTTGTAAGGCATTTATCACACATTTCTTGTTGTTGTTAAGTGCTGTCAATCAGTTCCAACTCATGTTGTTGTTGTGAAGTGCCGTCGAGTCGGTTCCTACCAATAGTGACCCTGTATAGGCTTTCCGAGGAGTAGTTGGTGAGCTTGCACTGTCGACTTTGCAGTTCAAATGGCTACTCATAGCGACCCTCTATAGGGTTTCGGAGCAGGGCCTGGCCGACCTTGCTGTTCAAATTGACCTTGAAATCCAGTGAAGAGAAAACTGACTCCTGGTGTGGCGCTATAGGATAAGAACTGGATTGTGAATCACAAGGTTTGCCGTTCAAACCCACCAGCTACTCCTTGGGAAACCTATACAGGGTCGCTATGAGTTGGAACCGACTCCACAGCGTTTAACAACAACACCAGGCACATAGTAAGTTCTTGAGAAAGAGTAGACACTGTTACCAGAAAAATGGTTGATCACCTACTGCTAACAGAGCCGATATTCAGATACAAGACTCAAGAGCACAGAGTAAAGCATTTATTTACCATGGATACCAAGGAGAACTGGGGAGTGGGAAATCTCCCAGATTTGTCTCCCCAAGGAAAAGAGGGGGCGGGTTTAATAGGGATTTGGGACATGAGGAGGATCCCCCAACCAGGGACTTCAGGAATACTGTGTTGTCTCTTTATTCAAGGTCCTGTAGATACCCTACCCAGCACTATTACTCTCACCAGGTGGTGGTTATCAGTGGCCATAAAATATGTATATTTGGTTTTCTTCTGTTCCTGCAATAGTCCTTTCTGAGATAGTCCTTGGGGTAAGGTTTGACACTAATTAAAGAAGAAATACTTTTAGAGAAAACTATTGTGTGGGAATGACCATTAGGAAGGTCAGTCGGCCTTTTTCTATATTTTTGCTTTGTCCAGGCTGAAAACGCTTTTAACACCTTAGGTTTCTCAGTACCCTTTACAACACCGTCATCATTATCATGGGTTGTTTATTTGACCTTTTCCAGTTACATATCTGTCTTTTCCTCTATTCCTAGTAGATGGCATGTTTTTAAAAATCATTATCTTTTTTTCATTTAACAAGAAAGAACACCTAGATTAAACATGAATTGGATAAAGTTGTGTAATAGATATTTTAAAAGAAAATAAAGTCACCTAGTTCAATTCAAGAAATAAAGGGAAATATAAAAGTTGGGTTGGAGACAAAAGGTGCAGTCAAAAGAGAACTGAACTAGAAGTGGGACTCATGGATTAATGTCCAGTTTTGCCTGTATAACTCTGAGGAAGCTCTCCTTTACTTCTCTGGAACTTGGGTTCCTTGCCTATAAAAAAAGATGGATTTCAAACCTTCATGGTGATTTATTAATTTTTAAATTGCTACTTTGTTTTCCACAAGTAGAAAAAATCTTTTTAATTATTCAATAAAATGAAAAATAAAATTAACTTTTCACTAAGCCATGTTGTTGTTGTTAAGTGCTTTAGAGTCGGTTCCAACACTCAATGACCCTGTATAGGATTCCTGAGTAACAGCTGGTGTGTTTGAACTTCTGACCATGAGTTAGCAGCCCAGCCCAGTCCTACAGCATCACACCAGTGCTCCTCACTAAGCCACAGGCAACCTCAAATTACTGACTCCATTTTTTTGTTTGTTTGATGAGCTTTTCAGACAGGATTGTGTGAATGTTTGCATGTATGTACATACACTTAAATTGTTCAGATTGGTTTGCACAAATGAACTTATATTTAAAGTCTGTTCACAATAAAGTTTCCAAAATAAATGATGTAATCTTAAATTACCAATATTAATGATATAAATACACATTACCATGTATTCCTTCACAAATTCCAAAGTAAATTCTGAATGTTTTGTTAAAATATGCATAGTCTAGAGCCCTGGTATGGTGCTATGGGCTAATGGGTCAGACTGCAAAGTTGTTTGAACTGCAAGGTTGGTGGTTCAAACTCACCAGCTGCTACTTGGAAACTCTATACAGGAATCGGCTCGATAGTACTTAATAACAACAATATGATCATTAAATAAGAATAAAATAACAATGGGAAAGTAAGTTGTACTACAAAACGGAGGCTAAAAATCAATATAGCATTTAGAAGAAGTAGGAGTTATATCAAAATATTTACTATGGAGAAATATTTTCCATAACACAGTAAGCTCAAATCTAAGTGGTACTTTTTTGTGGCACACTGAACAATATTGTTGTTGTTGTTGTTGTTGTTGTTAAGTGCTGATGAGTCTGTTCCAACTCCTAGCAACCCTGTGTAGGGTTTCCAAGATGCAGCTAGTAAGTTTGGACTCCTGATATTGCAGTTAGCAATCCAGTTCTTATCCTACAGAGCAGGAATATGACATTAAAAATAATAATAATAAGCAGAAATTGTCTCCTATGTCAACATACATTAATCCTCAATAACTGTAGCGAGCATATTAAAAAGTATTTTTGGAAAGGGGTTCAATTGGAAAACTATATCAATGTTTTCATTATGTTATGTTATGTTAAGTGCCGTTGAGTCGGTTCCGACCCATAGCGACCCTGTACAGGGTTTCCGAGAGTGTAAATCCTTACGGGAGTAGAGAGCCTCATCTTTCTTCCGCGGAGCAGCTGTTAGTTTCGAACCGCTGACCTTAAGGTTCGCAGCCTGATTCGTAACCACTACGCTACCATTAGATAGCTACTAACCCACGGTCACCAAGTCATTTTCAAATCACAGTGACCGTGTAAGACAGAGTACAACTGTCCCATAGGGTTTCCCAAGCTGTCAATCTTTTTTCTTTATTTTGAGATATTTTGTTTTATTTTAAATTTTTCTTTATTTTGTTACTGTTGCTGAGAATATGCAAAGCAAAATGTACACCAATTCAATGGTTTTCTCCATGTACAAGTCAGTGACTTGGATCACATTCTTTAAGCTGTACAACAGTTCTCAACCTCCTTTTCTAGTTGTTCTTCCCCGAATAACAAAAATTCACTGCTCCTAAAGTTCCTTTCAGATCTTTCAAGTTGCTGTTATCAGTTTGATCCCATACTGATAGCTTTTAAAAAGCATAATGCTCAAGGCATTTTTTTACTAGTTAAGCTAAACTCTTGTTTGGTTGTAAGCAAACTTCAGAGATGTTTTTGGTTTATAATTTAAAGATTACCACAGGGCAGCAGTTTTAGGGGTTCATCCAAACTTCATGACTCCAGGAAGATGGAGTCCATGAGAATTTGAAACTTTGTTCTGCATTTTCCCTCTTTTTATCAGGATTCTTCTATGTAATCTTTTATCAAAATATTCCGTAATGATTGTCAGACAACATCTAGTTCTTCTGGTCTCGTGACAAAGGAGGCAGTTGTTCATATAGGGCATGAGGCACACACTCCATCTCCTCCTGTTATTGACTCTTCTTTTTCCTCTATTCTTCCAGACAAATAGAAATTTCTATTTTCTAGAAATTTTTGTGCCTCGGATGATAACTTGAAAGCTTTTAAGACCCCAGACACTAGGAGACAGAACAGAAGTTATTAGGCCAGTGAAATGGTATGTCCCATGAAACCATGACCCTAAACTTCCAAACCAAGAAACCAAATCTCATGATGTTTTTAATTGTATATAAGCAAGTGTTGTAAATCTTTACAGATGTAGGTTGCCACATCTTTCTTCTTTTGTTCCTACAACTTGTGAGTTTGAACTGCTGACCGCTCACTTAGAAGACAAACACTTTAACCACTGCACCACCGGAGTTCCTTTTGATGTGATTAGTGGGATAAATTATTAGCATTTGACAAAAACTGAATAGCAAACAATTTTATAATGAGTTCCTCACCAAGGGCCTAAAAATCCCATTATATTTTTTAACTGATTGAGAGAGATTTCTGAGCATTTGATTTTTACATGTTCACAGCAAAATTTCACCTCTTGTTATTAAAAATAAGTCAACACCTTTCTTGCCTAGATGGAGAAGAAACAATATCTGTAAGAAAGTCCAAAAATTTCTTAAAGCCAAATTTAAGATGTGTTTTTGAAGATGTCTAGCTTTTACCAATAAAAAGCAAGTGAAAAAATTATAATTACAAGTTGATATTAAATTGATAGAGAAGAACATACTAAACAAAAGTAGCTAATAAGAAGATGCCAAATCTTTTTATATTGTACTGAGTGATGCTTCTTCCTAAACATTTGAATAGAATTTAATAAATGACGCAACAAATTAGTCATTTAAATAAGCAATGCTTTAAACCTATAACTTTATGATACTATTAACCCACTGTTGTCTTTTTCAACTCATACTGACCCTGTAGCACAGAGTACCATTGTCCCACTGGGCTTCCAAGGTTGTCAATCTTTTTTTGGGGGGGACGTATTTTTAAATTCATTTGTTGTTGTCGAGAATATACACAGCAAAGCATACACCAATCCAATCATTTCTATAAACAGAAACAATATCAGAAACTCATTCAGAAATATATTATTTCTCAGTATCACAATTTTCAAGAACTTAAAATTATTCTTTAAGTGATCCAACAACAACAATGGAGTCCTTTCTTATCAAGATTAGAATCTGAAAGAGATCTGCTTTTTATCTAGCAAATTCTTCCTATTTAATGTTTTTATTCCTTTTATTTTTGCTCTTGGGCCTTCTCTTGCAATTTTCTCATGTCAAATAAAAGATAATCTTCATAATTGCAGTAAAGGAGAAAAGATAATTCTGTGGAGGGAAATTATTCAAGACAGAAAGACTAAAATTACAAGTCTTAATTAGTTTTGTATTTCCATTGGGTAAAAGAATTACTGTTTGGGAGCTGAGAATATGTCTAGCTCCTCAGGGAATAATAATGTGCTTGACATGGGACAAGGAAAGAAACAAAGTAAATAATTGATTTACAGCTTGAATTGCTGTATAGATTACAAGAAAATAAGAAAGAGTAATAAGGACCATTTGCTAGCTAATGGTCATGAAATTGCACTCAGTCATAATTCTGTGAGTAAAACTCACTTGAAATGACGAATACGCTTAGACCTGGACATGCCATGGAGGTCTGTTGCTTCAAAACACACAAACTGGAGGTGATTTCTGGTCATCTCTTATTTCATGTACTTCATTCTAGAAGACAATTGAGTAGGACGGGATATTGAGTGTTGCCCATGGTGTGATCTGTAAAATAAAGAAAGGTTCTAATCCACCAGATAATGATGATTTAAACACAAGAAGAAGTTAGTGGGAAAAACAAACAAAATAGCTATTGCTATCAAGTTAATTCTGACTCACGGTGTGTCAGTGGAACTGTGTTCCTTAGCAGACTAACTCCTTAAAAGTTTGTGCCATCTAGGGAGACAGTGAACTAGTCATTATGATTACTAATCCTATCATTGGTCAACAGTTGGAGATCTTACCCTTTCTTATACTGCCTTTACCATCTCCCCAAGAACATTGTCTCTAATGGACTAAGAGAACATTACATTTAGCTGGAAGTTAACATTGCTTGTGTAAATTTATAACAATATCTTATAGATGACATTCTTATAAGGTCCTTTTTCTGGAAATTAGAATATATTGATATAACTGGACAGCATTTGCAATATGTAAGTCTCTATAAGGATGACTATCATTGAAAAGATTTCCACTTATTAAATTAATTGATGTTCTATAAGGTTACTCGGAGAACTGGTGTGGTGCTGTAGGATAAGTACTGGACTGCTAACCTCCCAGCTGTTCCTTAGAGAGCCTCAACAAGGTCATTATGAATCAAAACCCACTCCACAGCATTTAACAACAACAACATAGGGTTACTATGAGTCAGAGTTGACTTGACAAAAGTGGATTTAAACTGTCTGATAACGTCCAGATTTAAAATTCCTATACAGTTGAAGATAAAAGTATTCATTTTTGTTTGTTTTCTGTGTTGATATTTCTTTTTTTCTTTTTTTTCCCAAAATGGCTTTATTTCTTTATAAAGGTATCTAAGCTTAAGATACTGGTAGTGTAGTGGTTACGAATCAGGCTGCGAACCAGAAGGTCAGCAGTTGGAAACTACCAGCTGCTCCGTGGGAGAAAGATAAGGCTTTCTGCTCCTGTAAAGATTTACGACCTCGGAAACCCTGTTCATGGTCGCTATGGGTCGGAACCGACTTGACGGAACTTAACAACAACAAAAAGCCTAAGAAAAGTCTATATTTCTCTGTCAAATGTAAAATAGATTTAAAACTCAAACAAAAGTGCTTTTCAAAAGAGAGTCAAGATGAAAAAAAATCTAGACTGCATATTGAAATTGAAAATATGAAGGAGGCATGGGTTTTTTTTTTTCCAAGAACTTGAAGGAATAATCTAAAAATTATAAAAGTTTAGAACTGATTGAGAATTAGGAGAAAAATCATCCCATCCAACCAACTCATTAGCTTGAGTCTCAGAAAGGAACAATGGTAAGTCACACTATCAGTTCATTGCCAACATAGAAACTTGAATCTGGACCACTGGACTCCTGGTAGGTGGCTCATTACCACAAAATGAATGGATACATCGAAGTCAGATAGAAGAGTCTAGCATATAGTATACTTTATACATGGAGTCCTAGTGTGGTGTTGCAGGTTACCATATCTGTTTTAACTGCAAGGTTGACAGTTCAAGCTCACCAGCCACTCCTTGGACTCACTATGAGTTGGAACTGACTGGACAGTACTTCACATACTTTGTATAGGTGTTTGCTACTGTCAGAAGTTTTAGAAGAGGGATAGAATATAATTGTTGTTGCTTTGAAGTGCCATCCAGTTGGTTCCTACTCACCCTATTTGTGGTCCTGCACCATCTTCATAATTTTTATGATGCTTGAGTCTATTGTTGAAGCTACTTTGTCAATCCATCTCTTGAGTATCTACCTTTCTCACTGATCCTCTGCTTTACCAAGCATTATGTCTGGGGAGTGATCCCTTCTGATAACATGCTCAAAGTACATGAGATGAAATCTCACCATTCTCATGTCTAAGGAATATTCTGGCTGTACGTCTCCCGAGATAGATTTGTTCATTCTGCTAGCAGTATACTTAATATTCTTCACCAACACCATATTCAAAGACATCAATTTTTCTTAGGTATTCCTTATTCTTTTTCTAGCTTTTGCATGCATATGAGGTGATTGAAAATACAATGGCTCAGATCAGACCATCTTAGTTCAAAAAGTGACATTTTTGCTTTTTAGCACTTTAAAGAGGTCCTTTACAGATTTGTCCAGTGCAATAAGTCATTTGATTTCTTGACTGCTATTTCCATGGATATTGATTGTGGATCCAAGTAAAATGAAATCCTTAGCAACTTCAGTCTTTTCTCAATTTATCATGCTGTTGCTTATTGGTCCCCTTGTAAGGAATTTTGTTATCTTTAAGGTTCAATCCATACTGAAGGCTATAGTCTTTGATCTTCATCAATAAATGCTTCTTTGCTTTCAACAAGTAAGGTTGTGTCAACTGCATATTGCAAGTTGCTAATGAGTTTTCTGCCAATCTACATTGTTTTTTAAATAATCCATCTTCTCTGATTATTTGCTCACTGTACAGATTGAATAAGTATGTTGGAAAGATGCATCACTGACACACACCTTTCCTAATTGTAAACCATGCAGTATCCTCTAGGTCTCTGTGAACAACTGACTACCTCTTGGTCGATGTACAGGTTCCACATGAGCACAATTGAGGGTTCTAGGATTCCCATTCTTTGCACTCCATAATTTGTTATGATGCACACAGTTGAATGCCTTCACACAGTCTAGCAGCTTTCTTCCAAATTTCTTGGCATAGACAAGACAGTGTCTCCAGCGTTGCACCCATTTGTTAGAACATTTCAATGGATTTCCACCAATTCCAGAGGCCTTGTTTTTAGCCAACGCCTTGAATTTCTTCCTTCAGTAACTACTGGTTCTTGATGAACCTTTTGTGGTTCAGCTCAAATGCTGAAGCCCATCTGCCTCACTTCCAAAACCTTGCGTTTTCCCTAGTAAGTTAGTTACCTTGTCTGTGCCTTGCCTTTCTTGTTAGTAAAATGCTAGCTGTTTCATAGGATTGTTATGAGGATCAAACAATTATTTAAAAGTTTCTGGCAGATAGTCAGTATCTTGTAAGTGTTACTTAAATGTATACAATGAATAATTATCATAACCTTAGTAAATGTTGTTGTTGTTTAGTGTCTTTGAGTACGTTCTGACTCATAATTACCATGTATAGGGTTTACGAGGAGCAATAGGTGTATTAGTAGCCCAGTGCTCACCATACATACATATCTCAGAACTCCACACCAGAACTTCAACTTAGGTAAATGTTAACTTGATAATGTCTGTGTCTGAATATCCATCAATTTGTCACATCACTCTAATGTTGAACAGCTATATATTTTTTTAATTATATCCTTTTTCAAGATATAATTAAGCTTTAAAAATAAGAAAAATATTTACAGTTAAAGACAGATTTTAAGTGCATTAAATATGAGGAAAAGAAGTTACTAGTTCCACCTATGCAGCTATGTTAGAGATAATGTCCTGTCACTGATACATTTAGCTGTTCTAAGTTCCCTGAGGCTTCATAACCACATCTCATTTAACACAAACAATTAAGCTGTAGCAATTACAATGTTTCATGCTAAATTAGCAGTTGTGTTCCCAACTCATTCTGAAATATTGGGTACTTTGCTCAAGGTAAATAACACTCATTAAATAAAATAATATGTGTAGACATTTTTAAAGAGCTCTCATCGCATTGTGAGTTACAAGTTGGGCTACACTTGTAACTGTAAGATCAGCAGTTCAAATCTACCAGCCACTCAAGCGAAGAAAGATGAGGCTCTTTGCTCCCAGAAAGTCTGTAGAAAGTTTTCTTACAGTCATAGGAAACCCTATACCGATTGCTGTGAATTGGAACCAACTCAATGTCCTACAACCACCACCATAGAGTAATCAGTACTCTAAGCAAATTAAGTAATTATATATATGCTTTAAATAAATTAATGATATTTAAAAAAAGACAAAAAGGCATCTCCTGTGAAATAAAGTAATTTTGTTGTTTCACCAGTAGTAAGTAGTATGATTGTGGTGATTAAGTGCTGTCATGTTGATTCCATCTCCTAGCGATAGGTATAGGGTTTCCTAGGCTACATAGGATTTCTGAGGAGCAGCTGGTGGGTTTGAACTGCCGACTTTGAGGTTCAAACTGACCTGTAGGCCAGTGCTTATCCTATAGCACCACACAGGGTTCCAATAGAATGATAGGTAGTCATGTTAGTCTTTTGCTTATCTGCAACACCTAAATTGTCTATAGTTAAGTATGTATTATTTTAAAATAAGAAAAGTATCCTTCCACTCAAAACATACTTTTTCCATTACCACACACTCTTCTTACCAGATGCATATCTAGGAAGCAGTAAGAATGACTCTATTGTCCTGAAGTTTATATTCTACTGAGTGGAGGAGCTACAGATGATAAGTAAGGCATCAAATAGAAAGATGTAGCATTTCACATGGGGGACAATGCTGAAAAAAACAAAACCTAACCACCTGGCCTATTAATTCTATGAAATTTAGTGACAACATGGAGTTGCAACCCCTAATGAACTCTGAGATCACCATGTTGCACTATAATCGAACAATGAATATATCATACTGATTCCATTTCTTCACAGCCCTTTTCACTATGTTCCATGTTATCTAATTGCATACTACCCCCCACCCCCGCACTAGGGTATCAGCTCCATAACTTTACTTGTGACTGTATTCCCAGTACCTTTAGCAAGTACAAAAATAACATTTTTAAAAATCCCCTACCATCGTGTCAATTCAGATTCAAAGTGTGTGGAACTACTCCTTAGGGTTTCTTAGACTGTAAATCTTTATGGGAGCAGACAGCTTCATCTTTCTCTCTTGGACCAGCTGGTGAGTTTAAATCACGAAGCACTGTGATTAGCAGCCCAACTATTAACCCAGTGTGCCACCAGGCCTCTTTAGAAAGATCATAGACACTCACATATGCTTTTGAATTAGTGAGTGTGTGAATGAGTTAATGAATACAAAGGTATGATTTGACCTTGTCTCTCTCCCAAACCCACACCATTGTTGTCGAGTTAATTCCAGCTAACAAGAATAATTGCCATCACATAATTTGGTATGCATCCTAAGTAACAATTTTTCATTGAAAAGTGCAATTCTTTCACCAAATATGAGAACCCTATCTAATCTAATTTCATTTTCAAGGCATCAGCTTATCTTGCTGCATCATTGTCTGAATTTCCTTTCTTCAAATAAATCATACTTGTTAGTTACAATTAAGCCTTGTGGTCAGCCCTTCCCAGCTGCACATGATGAATAGCAGGCAGATAATTGCCAATCCAGGGACTAATTTGTTTTTCTTACAGTGTGGTTCATGGGACATGTTCTCTTTTCCCATCCCCTCTGAGGACTAATAAATTAAATCAATGTGCTTTCATAGAGGAAATTGTGCTACTATGAGTGTTTAGGGGGTGGAAAGAAAACATTGAGAAAAAAAAAAAAACCTTCAAAGTTCTATAGAAACTCAAAGTCCTTGGAGAAATGTTGTCCATGTTCAGTGACAATAAAAAACAAGAGAATACGCAATGGTCACTTATAAAAAAGAACAAGCCATAGTCACTTATAAAAAAGATAGATTTCAATAGACAGTTGGGCTTTCAGAAAAGTCAATTCAAAAAGGAAAAATACAATCAAGAGTATACTGTATAATACATTCAGCTTATCATGTACCTGGGAAGGACCCATAATATTGTGTTCTAAGGGCCTACCCCCTACATTCACATAGCATCTGTGAAAACTGCCCCATTGGTACAAATATAACCCCACCCTCTAGCCACGTCATGTTAGCTCAGGCAGTGTTAGAAAGCCCAGGTAGCAGAAAAACTGTGCAAAGCAGGGACACAAATGAGAAAAAGTTACAAAAGGGCTTTTATTTGGGGAGAAAAAAATGAAAATCTAAAAGTTTTTACCAACAGAGGAGAAATTAACTAACTTGAAATTATTTTCCTATAGCTTTGGGGTTCAATTTTCATATTCATTTTTAAATTATATATTGGAGAATTTGGGGGTGGTGGTTATACATTGACACTTGTTATTGTTAGCTGCCATTGAATCAATTCCAATTCATAGAAGTACTATTTATTTCTATATCATCCTCACAATAGCCAGTATGTTTGATTTCATCGTTATGCCAATATATCTCATCAAGAGCCTCTCTCATCCTCTACAGCAACTGATCTCTCCTACTGAAGTACCCAAGGAGCTCTGGTAGCATAGTAGTTATGAGTTGGGCTGCTTACCTCAAGGTCAGCAGTTCAAAACTACCAGCTGTTCCACGGGAGAAAGATGAGGCTTTTTGCTCCCATAAAGATTTATAGCCTTGGAAACCTTTACAGAGTAGCTATGAGTCAGAACCAACTCCATGGCACACCACCACCACCACTGAAGCACCCAAAGCAATTAATTTGGACAATATTCTGTTGTGCTCCATAAATTTTCATTGGCTTTTTTTTTCTTTCTTTTTTTTTTTTTTTTTTCCAGAAGTAGATTATCAGGCCTTTCCCCTTAGACTGTGTTAGTCTGGAAGCTTGACTACAATCTCCCCATGATGGGTGACCCTGCTGGCATTTGAAATACCCCGTTTCATAGCTTCCAGAATCATAGTATATCAAGCTGACAGACTGGTGGTGGCTTTGGTACTTGTTGTTGTTGTTATTGGGTGCTATGAACTCAGCTCCAACTCATTGTGCTCCTGTACGCAGCAGAACAAAACACTACCTAGTCCTGCGCCACCCTCACAAATTCTGTTACTTTAGAGCCCATTGTTACTGGTCTTGTGTAAATCCATCTCTTTAGGGATCTTCTTCTTTTTCACTGGCTCTCAACTTTTCCAAGCATGATGTCCCCTTGAAGGACTGGTCCATTCTGATAATATGTCCAAAGTATGAGAGATAAAGTCTTGTCATCCTAGCTTCTAAGGAGCATTCTGACTGTACTTCTTCTAGCACAGATTCATTTGTTTTTCTGGCAATTCATAGCATTTTTTATATTTGTCTCCAACACCATATGCATTGATTCTTTGACAGTCTTCCTTATATATTGTCCAACTTTCACCTGCATATGAGGTGTTTGAAAACACCATGGTTTATGTCAGATATACCTTAACCCTCAAACTGACTGCTTTGCTCTTATTCCCATGAGATATATTCAAGATCATATTTTGTCTCTCATGAACTTGTTTTAATTTTCTTCGGTTTCATCCTGAACTTGAACATAAGCAAATATTCAGCCTTGCTTTGGCTGATAATATTGAGCTTTTATACTGTCTCTTCCCGCAGAGATAGTCAATTTGATTTCTGTGTATTCCTTCTGGAGATAAGTGTGTAGTTGCCTTTAATGTTCTTTTTAAAAAGGTATTTGCAATGATTAAGTTGTTGTCTTTCAAAATTCTACCATGTGATCTCCAGCATAGTTTCTATCACAAACCCATATTTTCCAACTACTGATCCTTCCTCTTTGTCCCCAACCTTCACATTCCAATAACCAGTAATTGCCAATGTATCATGTTTGGAAATGTTACATGTTTGATCAATTTCAAACTAAAGAAGTTGGTAGCATTCTTCATCACTGGCTTTAGTGATTGGTACATAAATGTGAATAATAGTGATATAATATGATCTTGTTCTGTTATTAGGTGTGGTGGAGTTGGTTCTGACTCACAGTGACCCTCTTCACAACAGAACAAAACACTGCTTGGTCCTGTGTCATCCTCACAATTGTCAAGCTTGAACCCATTGCTGTTGTTACTAATACATCTCATTGGAGCTCTTCTTCTTTTGGTTAACACTCCACTTTACCAAGCATGATGTCCTTCTCCAGGGACTGGCCCCTCCTGATAATATGTCCCAAGTATGAGAGACAAAGTCTTGCCATCCTGGCTTCTAAAAAAGCATTCTGGCTGTGCTTCTTCCAAGACAGGTTGATTTTTTTCTTCTGGCAGTCCATAGTATTTTTAATTTTCTTCTCCCACACGGTAACTCAAATGTATCAATTCTTCCAAATGTATCAGGCTTTCCAAATCATTGTCCAAATTTCACATTCATATGAGGCCATTAAAAATATCATGGTTTGGGTCAGGTGGACCTTATACCTCAAATGAACATCTTTGCTCTTCAATGCTTTAAAGAGGTTTTATACAGCAGATTAGCCTAATATAATCCATCATTTGATTTCTTGACTCCTGCTTTCATGAGTGTGGGTAGTGGATCCAAGCCAAATGAATTCTTTGACAATGTCAATGAACTTAGGAAAATTTGAAGTTGTCCAAGATGAAATGAAACACATAAAAATCAATATCCTCAGCATTAGTTAGCTGAAATGAGCTAGTACTGGCCATTTTGAATCAGACAAAATGCCAGAAATGACAAATTGAAGAGGACAGGCATCACATTCATCATCAAAAACAGCATATCAAGAAAGGAAGGGAGGGAGAGAGGGGAAGTTAGAGCACAGGGTAGGGAATAGACACAGGATAGCTTGGGTGTTGAGGGGAAAGCGGGCAATACACAAGAAAGGGGAAGGGAATGGAACAACAAGGCTGATGGGAGAACATGGGCAGGTTCACATGGGCTAAGTGACAAGAGTAGATAATGATGCATGCACAACCTTGGAACAACAGGGCTTTGGGATACAGGGACTGAGGCATGGTTTGAATGAGTAAAATAGAGGAATAACATTAAGATGCTTGGCTGTCTTTTGAATCTTTGTTTCCCTTGCCTACCATTGTGAAATAGACACTTGAGGGGTGGGTAAAGGAATAGCCAGAAACATCACAAGAGAAAGCTTGTAAGTCCATCTTCAGCCTATAACTGATTGGAATACCTTAAAGGGGGCTAGAAGCTGCCCAGTGAAAGAGGCCTCCTGTGTAGTTTTTGCATTGCATAAGACTATAGGTGGAAACCAGAACCCCATCCAGAATTGTCTGAGGTGGGAAATTTCCACTGGAAAGGATGAGTAGACCAGCCTGGAGTGGCTAGAAGAATAGAAGATACTTCGTGAAGAAAGACCAGCAGGAAAAATCAGAAACAATAATGGCAGTCTGATTGATTACTACAAGAACAAGTAAGCTGTTTGCCCAGGAGTCATCAAGGCAAGTGATCGAGTCCCCTCAGAGCAAACTCCCTTCCAACACTGGGACTCAAGGGGAATACATGAGCAGGCATGTGGTCTGGCTGGTTACCACATTGGTCACCGATAAGGAGAAGAGAGGGAAAAAACAACAATGATGTTGGGATCTAAGTCCGACCACATTCAATAGACTCCTATGAACACAGGTGGAGACCTGGATGGCCACCAGTATGGCAAGACCCGGGGACTCCTGGGCCCAGAGGCAATGACATGGCCACAAAGGACTAGAGTGGAGAGTGAAGCATCCAGCTGATATGAAGTGAGGGGAGATGCACAAGAACACCCATACTTGCAGATAGTACCCACTTGACCTGGCTTCAATGGCTGGATGATCAGAACTCAACTAGAAGAAGAGGGAAGAAAAAAAAAAAAGAGTAACCCACTTCAATTTGATGAACTTTACCTATACACATGGATGTAGTAGCTCAAAAGAGGGAACAAATCTTTACAGCAAGGATCACTCCCACCCCCTCGGTACACAGGGTTGATAGGGATGGGCGACATAGACACAGGCTACTCAAAATGGGGGTCGGGGGCTATAAAGGCAAGAAGTGACTGGCTTACAAGCTTTCAAGAGGGAGCCTAGTTCCAGACAGGGCAGGGATAGGTAGAACCTCCACTGAATTATTTCCAATCTGTTGGGACCGGGCTGGCGAAAGGAAATGGGGATAAGACTCTTATAGTGAAAAATTGCCATCAGGACTGACTGTGAGGGTCGGAATTGTAGAGGTAGACTTTTTTTTTTACAAAAGGGGGTGGTGGATTGATTGATTTTGCAGCCCAGGAGCAGAGGTCCCTGGGACCATCAAGTGAGAAGAGCAGAGAGCGTGACCCTACCCAGAGAGGCAGTGACACCAGGGATGGAGACAGAGACGATGATGTGGACAGATGGAGTAGCTGGGCACATTGGACTTAGGAAGGGAGAGGGGCTGTTTGCTGATGGCCAAGGAATATACCCTCTGGATATTTGATGATGCATGGAGGAGATTGTAATCATTGCAATGAAGCGAAATACAATAAGATGAATGTAAAACTGATGTTCTCCCATGTAAACCCACATAATTCACAATAAAAATGAAACAAAAAGCAGCATATCAAGGTCTATTTTTCAGTACAATGCTACTTATGATAGGATAGCATTCATATACCTACAAGGAAGATGAGTTAATACCACTAGTTTTCAAATTTATGCACCAACCACCATAGCCAGTGATAATGAAATCGAAGAATTCTACCAACTTATTCAGTCAAAAATCAAGCATATAATCAAGATGTATTGATAATTATTGGTGACTGGAATGTGAATGTTGGAAACAAAGAGGAACGAAGGCTCAGTAGTTGAAAAATATGACCTTGGTGATAGAAATTATACAGGAGATCACATGATAGAATTTTGCAAAGCTGAAGACTTCTTCATTGCAAATACCTTTTTTAAACAACATAGAAGTTGACTGTACACATGAACCTCACCAGATGGAATACACAGAAATCAAAATGACTAGGTTTGTAGTAAAAGAAAGTAGAAAAGCTAGATATCTAAGCCAAAACAAGGACAAGGGCAAACTATTCATATGCAAGTTCAGGCGGATGCTGAAGAAAATTAAAAACAAGTCTACAAGAATCAAAATATGACTTTGAACATATTTCACCTGAATT